TAGAAAATTTTGCAGAATGCAAATATTTGGAAAATTGGTTGAATAGTAAATAATTTTAAGCAAATTGAATTTAAGGTCAATTTAAAGGAAAAGAGTAAATAAATAAATAATAGAGAAGATCGAACTTTAGAACATTAAATTTAGGATTTTACGTGGGATGTAATATAAGAATTGGGATAAGAAATATTGACAAATAATTTTATAAAAATAATTATATTAGAAGACAAGTAAACCGAGAGTAAGAAATTAAAAAATGATAACATGCTAAATTATCTAACACGTACCTATAAATAAGTGTCCAAAACTCATAGCATTATGAAAGAATTTATAGTATATAACACTACAAAGGAGACATTAAAAATTTTAAATAAAGTAGTGATATATTGTCAATAATGGTAGGGTTTAAAATTTAATAAAAGGAACTTTATAAAATTCTGAAAAAAGAAAATTAAATGAATTTGTTTCATTAGTCTATTACGAAAGAGTTCTATATGTGTGGTTGGAATTTTATACTATGTTGATGAATCCTATCATAAAAATAAATGAATTTATGTATATTTATTCAATATTTGATAGTAGTGACCACTTTGGTAAATGTATTTTTGTAATATTTCATTATTTGTATTTGTGTGTCTACTTATATTGATAGCAAAAAATTCATCTATTCTTCTTAATAGTAGTATCGAATAATAAAATTTTAATGTGTTTACATAAAGTTTGTATATAAAAATATATGTGTAAGAAACTTAAAATGATAAATATATAATTAATAAAATAGTAGAAATTCAATTAGTATCACTGTACATGTGTATTAAAATAAAATTGTTAGAAAAAGTTAAGATCCAAAAATAAAATTTGAATATTTGCATAGAATTTTGATAAAGAATCCGAACAAATAAGAAGAGGAAATTTTAAAGTTACCTTCACACTAGAGAAAAATTAAAATATTAATTAATTAGTATCATGTTTATACAGCCTTGATTGTTAAAAAATTTTACTCAAGAATCTCACCAGTTTTGAACATAGAAATTTTTCTGATTTTTTTTTTTTTTTTACTTTGTTTATTTGTTCTTTTGGATTTCCTTTTGTTATTAAATTACTTTACTGAATTTGTGATACTTACACTAATTCACACAAAAATTGAGGTTATTTCTAGAGCCTTCGTAAATATATTCTGAGTGTCACTGCCTCATGTATTTTATTTACATCTCAATCTCACTACATAAATATTAATTGCTAACATTATTTTAAATTAAAATAAATAGTTGTGTACGGAATTTGCAAGAATTCATTATATTTTATTATCCAGATCGTCCATCCGGTAAAATCCAGGGGGTGACTGAAATATTCTGGCCTATCCCCACATCAAATTCTACTTAAATCCAATGACAACAGGGAAACTACCAATATTGATCATGCCGGGCCGGACTTTAGCAAAATCGATCGCCGGCGGCATCTTCGGCCTGACTCACATTACCAGCAGGAATTTCGAAATGCCAAAGTCTACCGACATGTTTGACCAAGTACTTCCTGCACAGGAACTCCTCCGCGAAACTCCTCTCCACTCTCCTATTCACATCGTGCAGGAACACGTGCGTAACACCGGATCCCTTCCTGTTCCTGGCCATGACCGCCGCCGAGAAGATCGCTCCCATTCTGCCCGGTGCCTCCGCGTAATATCCTTTCGGGGCGTCGATCATGATTAGATCCCATTCTGTGTCGTAGAACTCGTCGGGGAGACCGGTCAATGCGAGCTTACAGAGAGTGTTCCCACGCAGGTAGGCCCTGGAAGGCAAACAGTTGGGTTCCGTCTTGTAGGATGCGAGGAGCGCGTCAGCCTCCGACAGATGGGTCCGGTACTGGACGTGATGTGCATGGAGCGCGGGCGCGTCCTTGAGGACGATATCTATCCACTTAGGATCCTCCTCGACAAACAATGTGTTGCCTCGTGGATTAAGCGATGTCCACATGAGCGAGTCATGCCCTAGCCCGAACACCAGAAAGTTGCAGGGAGCGCGTTCCTTTAGCACAGCGAAGGAGACCGAGATCTCGCTGAATGACTGCTGTGGAACGACGCGTGATGTGGCGTAGTGGATGATGGATTGCAACTGGATCGCCGTCGCAGAGTATTCCGAGATGGATTTGGCGTTCGCGCTAGTCATTGAGCAGAGGAAGGAGTTATAGGTGGTTCGAACGAAGCTGGAGATCAACAATCCGCCGGCCAACAGACCGAAGAGTAGTACGGCTAGGAACCTTGGCTTCTCCAACAAGAACGATCTGCTCTTCATCTTCTCTAGTCGCAATCTAATAAATTTTTTGTGATTTTTTAACAAATACAAGCTGATCTGGTGATTATATTGAAGTGTGTTTACAGAAAAGGGAAATTTGATTTTGTGGGGGAATCGGAGGGTGGAGGGATGATGTGAGATTTTGAAATCTTTTACCTTTCCGAGGGTAATTTGGACAATATGCATCAAAACTGCGCCGTTTTTCCAAAAAAAAGCGGAGACGTGGCCGGCCTGGAGCGCTCGAGGCGTTCTCCGAGAAGCCCGAGAAATCCCTGTGACTGCTACCGCTAAAACTCCCGGCGGACGTCGTTTCCGTCCGCGGTCGCCGTTTGTGAACGGGGATTTCTTAGGGTACTCAACAATGTCGCACTGTCGAACATGACACGCAGCTCAAGAAGCGTAGCTACGATAGCAAGTATTTGGCGGCCATGCTTGCTTTTGGTACGGTGGAATTCCCCTCATTTCTCTTTGTTTAAGTAAGGTCTTTTACTTTTCCTAGCATTCTGTTTAAAATGTTATTTTTATTTTTATTTTCATTTTTATTTTTTAATTTTCAGCTCTATAATTGCTATTTTATGTTGAAAATCTGTCATTAACTTTCACTGGAAGACTGTTGACATAATTAGCTCCATAAATTGTCTTTCTTCACGGTTAATGGTTATCCATCTCCATGCTAGGGTCCCCGATGCTTAGCTTTGAGAGGCAGAAGATGGAAAGTCCTGATTCGTGCATGGCCGTGGGCATAAACTATTCAGATACTGTTCTCAGCTTTGATAGGATTCATATTGCTAATGGTAGAACCGGTAGAGTGTATTGTTATTTGCATCACATGCGTATTTGTTTCTGGCTACACGCTTCGTGTGCTGAGAAAAATTCCATCATGCATTGCGTTTCATATTTTTTTTTTAATGCATGTATTATAATTTGGTGTATCTTTAATCATTTTGAGAAATATGATTTCCATTACAAATATTAACATACTTTCCATCTGAAACCACTCTTGTTTATGGGCTTTATCTTTCTGCAAGTTGCTATATAATTGAGGAATGATTTCAACTTGATTAGCTGTTTGTTGGCCATTCTAAGATCATTTATGAACTTTCCTGACATGTTGGCTCTCATCTTGTTGATCACTCAGTACCTTTTCAGCATGTTGCAGATTATATAGGTCTTAGTTACCTTGTATCTCAGCCTCCAGCTATTTTGACCCTCGCGTTTGTGACATTCTTTTATGACCTTTTTTGGAGAATGATTTGTTCTTAATGAAGTCTTTTTACCAGAATCTTCTTCAAAAGGTGAGGTTCTCTCTAGATTCCCTTCGAAGTAGACTTGGAAACAAGAAGCTTTTCCCTATATAACTTTCTTTTCCCAGGAAATCTCTTGGGGCAAAAATTTTATTTCTAACAATTTGAGAAGTAGAATCATCGTAAATTATTAGTTATGTGCTTTTGAAAGAGCAAGTACCCCAACTATTTCTCCTTAGGTGCTTGGAGTTTAGAAGATAATAGGATTCAACTCTTTTTTTTCTTGATTTGTGTTGGGTGGCTAGGCAGAGAATTTTGGGCTGGAGCTGTCACAGCCGTGATAGGATAGAATAGGGGGCTTGCAAAACCAGGACGAAGCTCATTTCCCTCATTCTGATGCCCATCTTTGGATGATTTTGAAAGAAGGAACCATGTGGTTTTTATCTATCTACCTTTGCTAGTGTTGGAGATCACTAGTTGCAGACCTTTAGTATTTGATTTAATCGTCACTGTCTCAGCAGCTGCGAGGATTTAGGGAACCAACCTCATTGATATTTCCTTTTCTTCTAGTTATATGTAAAGCTGCTAGTATATACAGGTGGCCTCCTCTTGCTGTCCTGTTTATGATATTATTTTTATTTCCTCTAAGAAAAAACATCAACTTTTTCTTCTCCTAGAAATCTTATAACTTATTCCATTACACGGCAAAGGCAAGCCTCCTTCATGTTATACTATCGCAGGATTTGTGTTCACAACTGTGTCCATTCTGTATCTCTATCCTGAGGTATGGTGTCTGTGAATTTCAATGTTGTTAAGCATGCGCTTCATTGATTATTACATCCACCTCCTTCTCCATCACATATTTGCTGTTGCTTTGATGTCCGTGTATCAAAATGTGAAGTATCTTATACTTGACAATGCAACCCTCATATATTTATAGTGGAGATAAAATGTAGTATCACTACATATTTTTATAGGTTTGTAATGCGGGACTGGAAGACGTCAAAATGAATTATAATACTTGATATATTATTTGGATATCTAGCTTATTTAGGAAACATAGAATAGTTTAGGAGGTTAAAAATTATTTAGTTTCTATTCTACCCTAGTTTATAGAATAGTTTAGGAGCTTAAGAATCTTGACTTTGTTGGATATTTTGTTTTCCTATTCTGGTTGTATGCTTGGTGCCTATATGAATGGTAGTAAATTAAATAAGAAATTTGAATTCCTTATAGATAGTTGCCATCATTTGTTTTCTTTAGTAGTTTTTTCCATTAGTTTTACGTGGGGCTCTGTCTTGACCTACACCATTTGTTAACATAAATCTTACTTCATCACTGTACAGTCTAACTTGCACCTTTCAAACTACCCAAACAAAATCTGAGCATCTCTACTTTTTCTTCTAGATCTCCAGAAAAGAAGTAGAAAACACAAAGACAACCATCACCTGAAGTTCCAACACTGCCTCACTGCCGCATTAGTTGCCACTTACTGTCCAACCTTCCCTGTTCTGGTTGCTAAATCTCTCGGAAACTACTTCACCTTTGCCCGAATGTTTAACTATCTCTGTTTTTTTGGATCTCTATCTTATTGGCCCCATAACCCATCTAAAATTACCACAATTCAGACTACCTTCTACCAGAAATCGATCTTGAAACCAGAAGTCAGGATATATGGGGCTTCTCATAGCTGAAGTCAGTCTTGAGACCAAGCCAAGCCATATTTGTGCCAAATTTGAGCCGATCCATGATACTTGCCAGCAAACTGAGTTGCATAAAGTTTTCCGCCTCAATTTTTTCAATTTTATTTTATTTC